TAACTGATAGCTCTTCCAACGCCTGTAGATTTCTGATTTCATTGGGCAGGTGCACTGAGTTAAGGACAAAAAGACGCACTAGCTTCTGCAACAGCATAATACTTGCTGGTAGGCTTTCAAGAGCGGCCCATCTCAAATCTAGTGTCTCTAGATGTTGCAGCTTTTCTATATCTTCTGGAAGCTTGGGGACCCCCACAAATTGAAGGCCTGCACTCAAGTACTTCAATTGACCAAAACTTTTGACATGTCCAAGATTGCATCCACCAACCTCACTTTCTATATTCAGCACTCGCAAGACTTGGCTGTTTAAGAACTCAGAGGCATGCTTTTCGACCAGGACAGAATTAAAACCAAAGATATTAATTGATCGAATATGAGGTGCATTTTTTATTGTCTTGGCAATCTCTTCCGCCCGGGCAGAAATGTCTTTCTGGATGGATAAACGGCGAATCTTGTTCAAGGATAATTTTAGAAAAACCATTACCATTCCATATGGTAACAAAGTTGTCCTCTACAGCCTTTGACACAATGAACTCAAGTATGACATCATGAACTCTGCCCTGTTTCACGGTTGTGCCATCTGCCCCAACCTTGGTTGGCTGGACCAAGCTTCTATTGATCAGTTCATTCAAGTAACTTCTCCCTAGTTGCTCCATACTTTCTCTGTCCTGTACAGGAATCAGTCCTTCGGCAACCCACAGTAATATCAACTGGCAGCAATTAATGGAATAATCCTCTGGAAACACACTGAGATATAGCAAACAGCTCTTTAGATGGTGAGGAAGGTCAAAGTAACTCAGCAGCAGAATTCTTTTCATCTTATCAATGGGAGAATCTTTGTCAACTGCAGCAGCAATAGATCTCAATACATTGCTCCAGACTTCCACTGTTTTGCTTCTGTTTGCTAATAAACCAGCTATACTGATTATGGCTAATGGTAAGTCGCAACATTTCTTCAAAATATCATCGGATACTTTTCTCAAATCTAGGTGACAATCATCACCGGAGAAAAAAGAGCCTCGTAAAGAATAATCTCTGAGAGTCCTCATCACTAAGTGGCTTGGCTTCATACATTTGTGTGACAATACCAGTACAACATTTGTTGGCTACTGCTTTCTTGCGTGTTGTAGTAATAATTCTGCTTCCATTGTCATTGACAGGTAAGGCAGATCGTACAAGGTCCCATGCTGATTCACTCCAGATATCATCAATCAAGATGAAGTACCTGCATGCATTAGTTACGGAATCATGTTATTATGTAAGGCCACCATGAATTTGAGCATATTCTGGTGAAATTAAAGAAATCGGAGAAATGTAACAAGAAGATGGATCGTCGTGGCACACTTTTCTATCAGTAAGTATTATTGTATGTCTGTATTACACATGAGAAATACAGACTGTAAACTCCTAATATTTAATAAATATGTTACAACTTCCAAAATAGTTGGTGCCGCATTAGAACACCTAGAGACCCACTCAAAAGACATGACACATTCAGTTCAAAAACTGAGTTCCAAAATGAGATTTTTATGGATATTTAGAATTCTGGTCATATTTTCCAAGAAGTAATTTTACTGAATATGGATTAGATGGTGTAAAGTAAAATTTTTACCAAAATGATGCACAGTTGACTTGAGTTTGTTCATTGTTGTAACATCTTTAATGATGACATTTGATAGATATGCTGAGCCATTGAAGTATCTGAGGTAGTTTAATGCTGTCAAGTTCATTAGGCCAGGAAAAAATGAATTATTTTTTAAAATTCCCAGAAAATTTCATAAATAGCATAATAAATAGGTGAGCTCATGTGATGAACAAATATTGCACGACATTATTCTAGCTAGATGAACTGGTTAACTATTATAAAAAGAAATAATATTGATTACCTCTTGTCCTTTAAGCATTCTTTCACTGTGCGGATGAGCTGCTCAACTGTCTCTAACATCTGTGACCGGTCAAAATGGCTCTTGCTTATTTGAGACAATATATCTCTCAGAAGCCTCTTCATGTCTGGAGTTTGTGATACAGACACGAAAGCCCGGCAATCAAATGCTTCAGTAATTTTGTGGTACACCTCCATGGCGAGAGTGGTCTTCCCCTGTCCACCGATCCCATAGATGGACACCACTTTGTGCTGCTTCTCTTCACATTTCAATAACCTGATAATCTCCTCACGAGGAGCATCAATTCCCACAAGATCGCTGGCCTCCTGAAAGAGTGCAGGTGCTCGAGGATCCAAGGGCACCGGCTGTGCTGAGGCGGTGAGACACTGATTGATGTCATAGTAGCTTTTCCTCCGCTCGCTCTGCTCGCTGACGAGGCTCTTGAGTTCTCGGATCTCCTCTGCTATTCCTCCGTCCTTGAACAGTGTCTTCACCTTTCGCATGGCCTTGCACACAAAGTTGGCCTTGGAACCTCCCTGGCTGTGGTTGAGCATGAAACGGTCGATGCAATCCTCAATGTCGTAGGACAGCTCACGTACCTTGCTCCTCCAGTCCTTGGCGCGTGGATCTATCTGGTCGTCGTCCTTCTCGGCGAGCATCTGCAGAACAGCATCCATGCTGCTCAGCTCCTCTTGCAGGAAGCGGATCCCGCGCTCGACATCTTTGGCGAGCTTGTACTTCTCGGTGAGCATGGCGGCCAGCTTGCTGATGACGGAGCCCAACACGCCCGTGGCGGTGCTCGCCATCAATTCGGCCATCTCGACTCGAAAGCACTCGCTCAAAGTGGATAATTGCTCGCAGATGTTGGAGATGCCAATTCCGACGATAATTGCTCGCAGATGGTGGGCGCAATAATGGGATTCTATTTCTGCGCGTGAGCGCACTGGAACGACACGGAAGTTTCCTTCCACTTTCCTCCGTAACCACCAACTCTCCCTCGGTTTTTCTATTTCGGCCGGTCCACCTCTATCCGCAAAGCCGTGTGATGAGTCCGGAGGTGGCAGGTGGGCAACTTGGCCAAGCGATGTCACGCGTAAAAACAATATCAACTCTGTTCGGGTGGGCGGTCGTAACGATATTTTTCCCATACCAAACCAACCAGTACTTCACAATCCAGCAACGAATAAGCCCAGGCACACAAACAGGCCGCCCGAACTGGGTGAAGGCCAAGCAAAGCACGAACCGAGCTAGCTCTTGACCATGCCCCGTCTAGTTCTAGTAATAATTAACTATGGTCCCTTCATCTCACTAATGCCCAAACCAAAGTTGTGCTTGTCAGCGTATGGGATAAGACACACAACACTACAATAGAGATGAGCCATAGCATACGCATGTCTGATTACATTTGGATAATTATAACTCAATTATAAACAGGACTGTTCGCTTGCTCGTAAACAATCGTAAATTTCTAGTCAGGAACAGTGTTTTTCTCTCACACCAAACCAACCAGCAGTAAATAATCCACCATACGGCCAAGCAGCTGGGCAACGGTGCAAGAGATCAATGCTGGCCCGTGGGACCCATTCGTCGGTGGAGGGCGGGAGAGGACGGAGGACGCTGGAGACACACATGGCCTGGACCATGTGAGAAGGACGGCGGAGACTGTGTGACGCACATGGCCTCTGCCAGACGCAAGTTATTGCACGGATACTGTAAAATTTGTTGGTTTGAGGATTGTGGCCGAGCAAACCTAATAATACAAATTTCTTTTAGCTATATATATAATTTACAGTCTATCATTCAAGTAGTTGGTTTACCTATACAGTCTGTTCGTTTCGTCTGGATTGACTTATAAACCATAGTTAAAAGTACTACTAGCTGGTTTGGTGCGAGAGAAAAATATTATTCGTTAGCTGATAAGCCAAAGCTTATAAGCCAGATACGAGCTGACGAACAGGCTGATAATCTACTTTTTCTATCATTAAACATTGGGTTTCTGCTACTGATAAGCCGGCTGATACTATTTTGTTTTGAGAGAAAAACACTGTCCTATAACTGATAAGCTCAAGCAAACACAACAAAAGTTCTGAATTTTTATAGGTACGTTGATCCTTGAGTTAAGCTTCTCTTTCATCTCCTCTCTTTTCCACCCGACGTCTGAGGGAGCAGACTCCGCCTCACCCGACGTCCTCTCTTTTTCGCTCGATGTGTGGGAGCAGACTCCGCCTCGCCCGACGTCGGAGGGCAGGCTCCGCCTCACCCGACGACCGAGGGCAGGCTCTGTCTCGCCCGACGTCCGGGGGCAGGCTCCGCCTCGCCCGACGTCTGAGGGCAAGCTTTGCCTCGCCCGACATCTGTGTGTTGCTCTTTCATAATTACACGTGCAGATAAGACAGGGCACTTAAGTCAACCGCAATACCAAAGACTATACTCTGCACACCTGCAGAGAAGTATCATCAGGATATGACCAGACAGGCATAATAATGTTACAGACGTCGATATTTATCAAGTGTTATGGGCATGAAACGGTCGATGCAATCCTCACTGTGGTAGGACAGCTCACGTACCTTGCTCCTCGAGTACTTGGCGCGTGCATCGATCTGGTCGTCGTCCTTCTCGGCGAGCATCTGCAGAACAGCATCCATGCTGCTCAGTGAGCATGGCGGCCAGCTTGCCGATGACGGAGCGCTCGCCCGTGGGACCCATTCGTCGGTGGAGGGCGGAGAGGACGGAGGACGCTCGAGACACACATGGCCTGGACCATGTGAGAAGGACGGCGGAGACTGTGGACGCACATGGCCTCTGCCAGACGCAAGTTATTGCACGGATACTGTAAAATTTGTTGGTTCGAGGATTGTGGCCGAGCAAGCCTAACAATACAAATTTCTTCTAGCTATATATACAATTTACAGTCTATTCCCTCTGTCCCAATATAAAGGACGTTTTAGACTCTGGGGGGAGTACCAAGGCCAACACCAAATGACCTGCATGCCCCTACAATTGCAATCCAGACAACACAGTGCAGCCACTTGCAAGGCATCGACTTGCTTGTACAATTTTCATTAAACAAATGAACATTTCAGCAAAACATAATTTTACAGCCGGCGGGAACCAAACTTAGCGCCAAAAATTAAGAGAAGCAACATAAACAAATTCAAATAGCCATTCAGGCGCCATATTTAACTTCTGGGCTACTAAAGCCACTGCCTCACTGCCCACAACTCCTCCAAACCATTCACTCGCCATGGCCCTTGACTTGAATGCAACTCCAGATGAGGAAGGAGATGAGGGGCCTGATCTCAACGAGCCACCTGCAAATGAACAAGATAGGAGTATCCATGATCCCTTGGAAGCAGTTGGTGCAAGCGAAATAAAAAGAGGTGATTCTTTACTTGCCCTCCTTCAACATGCAGTTTAGTATCATTCAAGTAGTTGGTTTACCTATATAGTATGTTCGTTTTAGCTGGATTGATTTATAAGGCATAGCTGAAAGAACTGTTGGCTGTTTGGTGTGAAAGAAAAATATTGTTTGTTAGCTGATAAGCCAAGGTTTATAAGCTAAATACGAGCTGCCGAACAGACTGATAATCTACTTTTTTCTATCATTAAACGCTAGGTTTCTCCTACTGATAAGCCGGCTGACGCTATTTTGTTGTGAGAGAAAAACACTGTCCCATAACTGATAAGCTCAAACAAACAGGACGAAAGTTCTGAATTTTTATAGGTACGATGATCCTTAAGTTAAGCTTCTCTTTCATCTCCTCTCTTTTTCACCCGACGTCTGAGGGAGCAGACTCCGTCTCACCCGACGTCCTCTCTTTTTCGCTGGACGTGTGGGAGCAGACTCCGCCTCGCCCGACGTCGGAGGGCAGGCTCCGCCTCACTCGACGACCGAGGGCAGGCTCTATCTCGCCCGATGTCCGGGGGCAGGCTCCGCCTCGCCCGACGTCTAAGGGCAGGCTTTGCCTCGCCCGACGTCTGTGCGCTGCTTCTTCATAATTACGCGTGCACATAAGACAGGGTACTCAAGTCAACCACAATATCGAGGACCATACTTTGCACATCTACAGAGAAGTACCATTAGGATATGACCAGACAGACGCTTTAAGTTCTTCCAGACGTGTCAGAACCTTAACAATATTACAGATGCTGACATTTATCTTAAAGTGTTACGGACATGAAACGGTGAAGTGTTATGGGCATGAAACGGTCGATGCAATCCTCAATGTGGTAGGACAGCTCACGTACCTTGCTCCTCGAGTACTTGGCGCGTGCATCGATCTGGTCATCGTCCATCTCGGCGAGCATCTGCAGAATAGCATCCATGCTGCTCAGCTCCTCTTGCAGGAAGCGGATCCCGCGCTCGACGTCTTTGGCGAGCTTGTACTTCTCGGTGAGCATGGCGGCCAGCTTGCCGATGACGGAGCCCATCACGCTCGTGGCGGCAGCGCTCGCCATCACTTCCGCCATCTCGACTCACAGAGACTGAGCACTCGCTCTCAGTGAAATGCAAGCAACGCGCGCGGGTTGGCCATGCCTCACTCTCGGAGACTAGCGGCCTGTTCGGTAGGCTGGGTTTGCTCGTATATGATCGTAAATTTTTAGTTCGAATAATATTTTTCTTTTACACCAAACCAGTCAGCAGTAAATAATCTACGATCGTTTACGATCTATCGAACAGGCTGTAGACAGATGAGCTAGCCAAGTCAAGTCAAGGTGTCCCCGCATCCCACGTCGTCGGCCTTGTTTAGATTGAGGTTAGGAATCAGTATTTGACACTGTAGTATTTTCGTTTGTATTTGACAATTATTATCCAATCATGGTCTAACTAGGCTCAAAATATTCATCTCGTAATTTACAATCAAACTGTGTAATTAGTTATTTTTTAATCTACATTTAATACTATATGCATGTGTCCAAAAATTTGATGTGATGAAGAGAGTGAAAAAACTTGCGATCTAAACAAGGCCGTCGTCCAATTAAGGGCCCGTTTAGATCCAAAAATTTTTGGTTTTTTTTGGCTACTGTAGCACTTTTGTTTGTATTTGGTAATTAGTGTCTAATTATGGACTAATTAGGTTCAAAAGTTTCGTCTCGCGATTTCTTACCCAATCGTACAATTAGTTTTTTTTCGTCTACATTTAGTACTCCATATATATACCGCAAGATTCAATGTAACGAATACTGCGCAAATTTTTTTGAAATCTAAACAGGCCCTAATTGTGGACTGCCGAGGCAAGCAGCAGGGAGCACAGCTGGGCAACGGCGCTAGATATCAATGCTGGCCCGTGGGACCCATTCGTCGGTGGAGGGCGGGAGAGGAGAGAGGACGGAGGACGCTGGAGACACACATGGCCTGGACCATGTGAGAAGGACGGCGGAGACTGTGGACGCACATGGTCTCTGACAGACGCAAGTTATTGCACGGATACTGTAAAATTTGTTGGTTCGAGGATTGTGGCAGAGCAGGCTTAACAATACAACAATTAAAAAAGCCTAACAATGCAAATTTCTTTGAGCTGTATATACAATTTACAGCCTATCATTAAAGTAGTTGGTTTGCCTATAATCTACTTTTTCTATCATTAAACGGTGGGTTTTTGCGGTTAATAAGCCGGTTGATGGTGTTTTGTTGTGAGAAAAAAATACTATACCATAACTGATAAGTTTAAGCAAACATGACGAAAGTTCTGAATTTTTATACGTATGTTGATCCTTAAGTTAGGCTTCTCTTTCATCTTCTCTCTTTTCCACCTTAAAATAAAATCCACTAACACTCTTTAGTGTACTTTCTCCGATCCATATATCTTTGTTTCTACATCTGAATTGCGAGATGGGATCAAGGTGAGTCTAATCTTATATACTAACTCCTCCATGTTATAGAGTTATTCTAAATCAAACTATTTTAAGTAGAGTGATAAAATTTTTCTTTCAAGTTTGACTAATTTTGTAAAAAAGCACAAATATTTATGCCATCATATTACTGTCACTAGGTACATCATTAAGTATATTTTCATAATATGTTTATTTGGTGCTACGAATGTTGTTATCTTTTTATATAAAGTTGATCAAAACTTAAGATAGTTTGATTTAATGTAATTTTAGAAATTGCTTTATATTTTTTTTGTGAGATCCAGTTACAGACGCAGACGCTACATACACGAGCGCGCACTCACTCCTATGAACACACGCACGTACATCGTACCCTTATGAGCACCTCCGAAGAACTAAGTTGGACCGGGCACGTCGCCTACCACCGAAAGAATAACGCTGTTAAATCCTGGAATAAATATAGAAAAATGCGACCACCTGTGTAAGTCGGGGACTCCGTTAAATCCTGAAATAAATTCAGAAAAATACGAACACCTATGTTAAGTCGAGAACTTGAATCCGGATGAACAGGTTAAAAAAAACCAACCAGCTAAGCTACGCTCAATTCTGAAATTGCTTTACATTGAGAGGCAGGTAGTATTAACTTTACAACTAATCCCCTGTTTCGTCGCTGATCACCAGATTTATGAACCTATCTCGAGATGCCCAGTTGATGCAGAGTCGTCACCAGCGGCAGCGCTATAGATTGGCTAAGGCCTTGTGTAGTTCGGCCGGCATTTACACAGGGTTTGATGTGATGTGACGGTAAATACTGTAGCAATTTTGTTTGTATTTATGAATTATTGTCCAAACATTGACTAATTAGGCTTAAAAGATTCGTCTCGTAAAGTTCAACCAAACTGTGCAATTAATTTTTGATTTCATCTATATTTAGTACTCCGTACATGTACCGTAAATTTAATATGACGAAAAATCTTCTTTTTAGATAGTGCTAAAGTTGAAAGTTTGGAAAACTAAACACCGCCTAAGCCAAATAGTACGAGAAATAATTGAGGTGCAACCCGTACAGCTTTGCACCAGCTGGGCTGAAAGGCTGTGCGTATGACTTCACTCGGTGTGGGCCTCCCTGTACGAGTACGATGAATGAATGAGTGAAATTAAAAGCCACTGGTCTATCACCTTTTGCACCGGTGTTTGATTCCACGCACTGAACTGTAGTTCATGCCGCATCGAATGTTTAACACTAATTTAAAGTATTAAATATAGGTTAATTATAAAATTAACGGTACAGATTGAGACTAATTTACGAGTAAGCCTAATTAGTTCATGATTTGATAATGTGATCGTACGGTAAATATGTGTTAATGATGGATTAATTAGGCTTAATAGATTCATCTCGTAAATTAGTCTCCGTCTATATAATTAGTTTTATAATTAACTCATATTTAATAATTCTAATTAACATCTAAACGTTCGATGTGACATGTCCTAAACTTTAGTCTCGGTAACCACACACCGCCACCTCCGTGGCTTTGATTGAGCGTGAAATGGTGGATGCAATCTCGTAGTCGTAGGACAACTCATGGACCTTGGGCGTGTTTGGATGCCATCCTAACAATCTGCCAGGCACAGGCAATCAACCCCAGGGTTTCTCCAGTCTTGAGCAAGTGGATCGATCTGCTCGTTGTCCTTGTCCGCGAGCATTCGCAGAACGGCATCCATTGACGTCTTTGGCGAGCTGGTACTTCTCGGTGAGTAGGGAAGCCAGCCTGCCGATGACGGAGCCCAACACGCCCGTGGCGCCTCTCACCATCATTTCGACCATCTCGACTCGCAGAGCACTCGCTCTCCCTAAGATTGCGTTTGGTTCAGCTCTGTAAATGGTAAGGTAAATAGTAGGAAAAAAAATCATTGGTCTAAGGTTTATTCTCTCAATCCTAAAATAAGTGCACATCTCGTTTATCAAAGAGTTAAACATTTTAAAAGTTGACTAAATATGTAAAGAATACTAATATTTATTACGTTTAACAAACATTATTACATTATTAGTCGTGAAATATATTTTGATAATTATTGATACCATTTTTATATAATTATTCGGGCATAAAAGAGTACGACTCCTCAAGAAATATAATATGTATTTATTTTGGAAACTCCAACTCATCTTTGTAAATATTAACCTTTTAAAAAATAGGTATATCATTGATTAAATAGGTATATCAACATGACAGGCTTCTATAAAATCTAGCGTAAATGATGATCAAGTATGACAAAAATCAGAGTAAATATTTTGATGGCATCATTGTCGCTGTTTCGAGTAAACACCAACAAGTAAATTTCTAATATTGCGCGTCTGACTCGGATGGTGTGCTAAGAGGACACGAAGTTTATACTGGTTCGGGCAGAATGCCCCTACGTCTAGTTCGTTGCTGCTGTTCGTGTTATTAGCACTTAAAAGTTCATAGTAGGGGTTACAAACGGGCGAGAGAGGGACATGTCCCAAGTCTCTGGTGCAAAGTACGAATGGATGCCGAGAGCTCGATCACTGCTCGGCTATGTGTTCGAGGTTCGATGCTAGTGGTTTCGATGTGTTGCCATGCCCCTTAGTGGGGTGTCCTGCTTTCCCTTTTATAGGTGAGGGAAAGCACGGGTTACAACAGGTGAAGAGAGGAGAACGAGAGGGAGAAGAAGTCCTCCAGGATCGCCGGACCTCTCTTTTCCTTTGTGCGGGTCCTGCCGACACTGCAGGCGGTGACAGGGACGGTTCCACACCGGAGGCCTGTCCGCCGATGATGCCACGCCCTGGCATTGTCAGCGGGTCGTGACGTCCTACTTCGCTCCCTGCACGATGCCAGAAGTTTGATCTTGGGTCATACTTTTTAGCCCGTAGTGGTTGGCGACAGCATGGGCTTCCGTTGGGAGCTGCGCCCGAGGGGTCGAGCGAGGCGGAGCCCGCAGCCTTGGTGTTGGACGAGGCGGAGCTCAAAACAAAGGGTCGGGCGAAGCGGAGCCAGCCCTCAGAGGTCGGGCGGGGCGAAGTGCGCCCTCAGAGGTCGGGCAAGGCGGAGCCCACCCTCAGACATCGGGCGAGGCGGAGCCAGCCCTCAGACGTCAGGCGATGCAGAGCCCGCCCTCAGAGGTCGAGCGAGGCGGAGCTAGCCCTCAGAGGTCGGGCGAGACGGAGCCCATCCTTAGACGTCGGCGAGGTGGAGCCCGCCCTTAAAGGTCGAGCGATGCGGAGCTAGCCCTCAGACGTCGGGCGAGGCAAAGCTAGCCCTCAGACATCGGGCGAGGCAGAGCCCGCCCTCAGAGGTTAGGCGAGGCGGAGCCTGCGTACCTGGGGGTCGGTTGGAGCTACAGTCGCGCCCTTGGAGGAATTAAGGCTTAACGGTCGTTATCCTCTCCTCTTCAGGTACCCTAGTACTGGTCCCCGACAGTAGCTCTCGAGCCTTCGGAGGAGTAGTATACTCCTTCAGAGTTTTTTTTGAACGGGTGGACTCTGAGGGCATTGGTCTTCTTTTGTCACCCACGGCGTGACCTGGGGACGGTGGTTCCCTTTGATCGAGATCGGACCCTTCGCGGGTATGGCTACGAGATTTGGTGGGTTGGAAAAGATTTTTCCTGATTGGGGCCCTAGT